GCAGCCCATCGAAGGTAGCACGCCAGCCCCAGCTCCCTCCCGCCCTTCCGCGTTCTCCAGACAGCGCAGGACCCCGCACCCCAGGGCCAGCGTGCACAGACTAGGGGACACACAGGGAAACCGGAGCCTGGTTCTGGTCTCAGGCCTGGTCTGGCTCCAGTCAGAGGCCGCTGGGAATTTTTAGATATGTGTATAATCGTTGTCCGTTATGGTTCTATCTGTTCCTCCACGTCGCTGGTTCTCAGCTGGGGCAGTTCTGACCCCTGGGGAGATTTGACAATGTCTGGGGATGTTTTTGTAGTCACACATTGGAGGACGGGGATGCGAGTGACACCTGGCGGGTGGAGGCCCAGGATGACACTCAACCCCTGACGGTACATGGGATGCCCCCCCTGCAGAGAATGATCTCGCCCCTCCGCAGCCCTGCGCCCCACCGCAGCCCTGCACCCCACCGCAGTCGTGCTGACAGGAGAAACGGAGCACATGCCGCGACCTCATGGGGGCAGATTGGGGCAGTCCCAGAGGGCTTCCCGGTGGTTGCGTGGAGCCTGCTTAGAAGGACGGGGCACCCCACCCATCCCCGGCTTCTCGTCCTGGCTGCAGGCGTGGTGGGCAGTGACTACATCAACGCCAACTACGTGGATGGCTACAGGCGGCAGAATGCATACATCGCCACGCAGGGGCCACTGCCCGAGACCTTCGGTGACTTCTGGCGTATGGTGTGGGAGCAGCGCTCGGCTACCATTGTCATGATGACGCGGCTAGAAGAGAAATCACGGGTGAGGCCTGGAGCCCGCTGCCCAGGGCCCCCAGCCAGCCCCGGCCCACACTCACGTCTGCTCTGCTCTCGGTGCAGATCAAGTGTGATCAGTACTGGCCCAACCGGGGCACGGAAACCTATGGCTGCATCCAGGTCACGCTGCTGGACACCATCGAGCTGGCCACGTTCTGCGTGCGGACATTCTCCCTGCACAAGGTATGGCTGGGGCGGGGCTCGTGGCTGTGGGAGGAGTGAGGGGCGGGGCTAGCGGCTGTGGGAGGTGTGAGGGGCGGGGCTAGTGGCTGTGGGAGGCGTGACAGAGGCTGGGGGACAACAGGCCCCAGCGCCTCCCCTGGGGGCTCCCCATCAGACAGAGGTGACCAAGCGTGTTGACCCCTCATGAAGCCCACTTTATGGATGGGGAAACTGAGGCTCAGAGGTGGGTACCTCTTGTCTCTGGCCACAGCAAGAGGACAAAACCAGCTGACCCCAACTTAGCAATGAACTTGGTGTCTTCTCTCCATCCGTTCTGCCCGAGGTGTTACCTACGCTCTTATTCTCTGGCCTCACCCGCCCTGGGCCTGTGACGGGGTCCTGGCGGAGTCTGAGCCCTGCCCTTAGGGTGCGCTAAGCCTTGGGCGGCGGACTGAGCTGGGGAGACTCTGCTGGCCTCACATAGTTGGGGTTGGGGTGGAGCAATCTGCAGATGGGGGTTTAACTGAGGGCCGCTGTCCACGGCGTGGTTCCCTCTGGCTTCCACATCAGTGGTTCTCACTTGGGGCAGTTAGCCATCCAGGGGCCGCTTTTTATTGTCGTGATGGGGAGAGGAGCTGCTTCCGGCACCGTGAGGACCCTCAACCCCAGTCAGGTCCTCTCTCAACATCAGCACACGCCTGGCCCGAGTGCCGGAAAACTGAGTAGACAGACCAGAGGGCGTGAGGGTTCTGGGTTCGTTCACGTGTATGAAGCATACACTGGTCAGGCCTTGACTTGGGTACCAGGACACAGCGGGGTCCAAGAGAGACAAAATGTCCTGCCCTTGTGGGGACAAGACACGGACAAAAATTGAAAATGTCAAGAAATCTATTTTTTTTTAATTAATTGCATCGGGGTGACGTTGTAATAACATGTAAGTTTCAGGTGTACTTCTTTATAACGTGACACCTGCGCAGTCCGTTGCGTGCTGACCACCGACATCTGTCTCCTTCCGTCACCATGCACGTGACCCCCTTGACCCTCTTCGTCGTCCCCCTGCCCCTCTTCCCCTCTGGCGACCACCATTCTGTTTCTGTATCCATGAGTTTGTTTCTTTGTTTTGTTTGTTCATTAGTTTTAATATTCCACGTACAGATGAAATCATATGATTCTCGTCCTTTTCTTTCTGACCTATTTAACTTAGCACGATACTGTCAGGGGCCATCCGTGTTGTCACAAATGGCAGAATCACATTTTTTTACTGCTAAGTAATATTCCGCTGTATACACATACCCCATCTCCTCCATTATCCATCACCTGTCAAAGGACACTTCGGTGGTTTCCGTGTCTTGGCTACCATGAATAATGCTGCAGTGAACATTAGGGTGCACGTGTCTTTACAGATAAACGTTTTCAGGTTTCTGGGGTAGACACCCAGAAGTCGAGTCGCAGGTGACCCCTAAGTCCCGGCCACAGTGCCCGGAAGGATGGAGGTGCCATCCGCTGAGATGCAGGGAGCCGGTTTGGAGAGAAGGTTGGAGCGCAGTGTTGGCCATGTAGTTTGAGCAGGACAGGAAACTTTCCTTGTGAAGACCCCTCAGTGTCCAGGGGTCCCTGAGGGGCGTGGTGGCCTGGAGGCCATGAGTTCGGGCGTCCTCTGCACGTGGGTGTGGGCTGCAGTGACGGGCGGTGACCCTGTCGTCCTCAGAATGGCTCCAGCGAGAAACGCGAGGTCCGACAGTTCCAGTTCACGGCGTGGCCAGACCATGGGGTGCCTGAGTACCCCACACCGTTCCTGGCCTTTCTGCGGAGAGTCAAGACCTGCAACCCGCCGGACGCCGGCCCCGTCGTGGTCCACTGCAGGTGCGCCTGTCCGTCCTCCTCACCCGACACCCGTCTGTGCCCTGCCCCTCACCCTCTGCCAGTCTGCAACCCACCCCCCACGCCCGCCCCCTCTCCCGAGGGCCCCTGACCGCGCGCTTGTCCCCACAGCGCTGGCGTGGGCCGCACCGGCTGCTTCATCGTCATCGACGCCATGCTGGAGCGGATCAAGCCGGAGAAGACGGTGGACGTGTACGGCCACGTGACGCTCATGCGGTCACAGCGCAACTACATGGTGCAGACCGAGGACCAGTACAGCTTCATCCACGAGGCCCTGCTGGAGGCCGTGGGCTGCGGCAACACGGAGGTGCCGGCCCGCAGCCTCTACGCCTACATCCAGAAGCTGGCCCAGGTGGAGCCTGGAGAGCACGTCGCGGGCATGGAGCTCGAGTTCAAGGTGGGAGGACTGGGGAGGCCTCCGTGAGTGGCGGGGGGTGGCTGTCAGGAGCCGGGGACCAGAGTTGGGGGGCGGTGAGCCCCTGCCTGCTGCTGGACCCTGAGCGTTCCGGCTGGAGGCCGTCCTGACGGCCGCCCCGCCTCCTCGTCCCCACAGCGTCTGGCCAACTCCAAAGCCCACACGTCACGCTTCATCAGTGCCAATCTGCCTTGTAACAAGTTCAAGAACCGCCTGGTGAACATCATGCCGTACGAGAGCACGCGGGTCTGCCTGCAGCCCATCCGGGGCGTGGAGGGGTCTGACTACATCAACGCCAGCTTCATCGATGGCTACAGGTACCTCACCTTTGCCCAAGGTCCCAGCCTTGTCCCCAAGGGGCTTCTGTTATTGCCGGGGTGACAAAGCTGGACACTGCCAGCCCTGTGCAGTCACAGCCGAAGGCCCTTTCTGTTTGTATTGAACCGATGACCGCTGTCCACAACGTGGTTCCGTCTTCTCTTCTACATCAGTGGTTCTCAGTCTAGGCAGTTCTGCCACCCGGGGAAAATCGACAATGTCTGCGGACGTTGGTGATTGTCGTGACGAGAGTAGGGGAGGTTGGCTCCTCCAGCGTCTGATGGGTGGAGGCCAAGGATTTTGTTCAGCACTCTCTAGTGCGCCCTCAGCAAGGGTGATCCAGCCTCGAATGCCAGCACCGCTGAGGTAGAGAAACCTTGGCCAGGGGAGGGTGTCCAGGCGGAAGGTACGGCCTGTGCAGAGGCCTCGAGGTGAGGGAGAGCTTGGCGTGTGCAGACAAGTGAGGGTAGCTTACTGGCACCTGCGGGAGAGGTCAGCGCCGCCCATGGAATCTTTGGGGGTGCTGAGTAAGACGGGGCGGAGATGGTCCACTGGCCACCTTTCCGGGGCAGGCAGGGCATGGCTGCCGGAGGCGGCATCAAGCCGGTTAGAGGCCCGGGCTTCCCCGCAGCCGCGCCCTCACCGTCCCCACCCCGCAGGCAGCAGAAGGCCTACATCGCCACGCAGGGGCCACTGGCAGAGACCACAGAGGACTTCTGGCGCATGCTCTGGGAGAACAACTCGACCATCGTGGTGATGCTGACCAAGCTGCGGGAGATGGGCCGGGTAGGCGGGGGCCGAGGAGGGCAGGCGGGGGCCCGGTGGGGCCCCAGACAGGGCTGACCACAGCTGCCGCCCCCTCCACAGGAGAAATGTCACCAGTACTGGCCGGCCGAGCGCTCCGCCCGCTACCAGTACTTCGTGGTGGACCCGATGGCAGAGTACAACATGCCTCAGTACATCCTGCGGGAGTTCAAGGTCACGGACGCCCGGGTGAGTGCGGCGCCGGGCTGGCGGGCCGGGCTCGGCGTCCACCTGGTGGTCTGGACAGCGCATCCCGAGCTGAGGGCAGAGCAAAGGTCCAGGGGTGGGAACCAGCCTGGGAGGTGGTGGGGAAAAGAGCGAGTTGACCAGTTGACCAGTCTCCTACCACCAGGTGGGTGGAAAAGAGGGCCAGGCCCCTGTGCTGCCCCCGTCGTGTCCCCATTGGAGCAGGCACGCACCACTCACTGGGGAACATGGCCCAAGGGGGTCACATGAAAGGGGGGTGGGGTGTGCCCTGGAAGCAGCCACCGTGGAGGACCATGTTAGGGGCTTGGAACCTGGGTGAGAGAGATCAGGGGTGCTGGGCAGTGGGAACGAGCTGTGGGACAGAAAAGGGTGGTGAACGGTGGCAGTCGGCACCACGGGGTGGGGAGGGGTGGGAGGGGGAAGGGCGGTCAGCACGTGGCCGGTGGCCAGCGGAGCCTGACAGAAGGAGCAGCAGCGTGAGCTGCAGTGCGGGCTGGTGCGTGAGGGGCCGCCGGGCAGCTGGGATGTGGGTTTGCAGCATGAGTGGGCGGGCGTGCGGCTGGACGGCAGGGGCGGTGGACACAGGATGGTGTCAGGTGGGAGGAAGACGGGATCGGAGCATGGGGTGCGTGCCCGACGGGCGGGAATGGGGTGCATGCCCGACGAGCGGGAATGGGGTGCGTGCCCGACGAGCGGGAATGGGGTGCGTGCCCGACGGGCGGGAATGGGGTGCGTGCCCGACGGGCGGAAATGCTGGTGGAACAGGGGCTACAGGCCGGCGACTGCGAT